TTGCGATCCCATTACCGGTCATGAAAAAAGACAAAAAGGAAAAAAAAAAAAAGAAAGAAAGAAAGCTCATGAGAGGAATTTTTGTGATCTGGTCCTGGGAAGGGTTGGTGGCATTCATAGGTAACACAGCCACAGGCATTCCCAGGGTTCTGGGAGGACATGTGGGGGCCATGCCCTGTGGTTAACCCCATGCAAGGACAATATAAACTAACATGGTTTCCTTTTCTCTGCCAAGTACTGAGCCTGCAAGACCTCTGCTGCCGTGCCGTTGTGTCCTGCACACCTGTGCACCTGGTTGACAAGCTCCCACTCCCCATTGCCTTAAGAAGCCACCTCAAGTCGTTCTCCATGGCCAATGGCCTGAACGCCAGGATGATGCACGGCGGCTCCTACTCCCTCACTGCCAGTTCCACCCACAAAAGGGGTGGCCTCCGCAAGGCCAAGGTCACCCGCCCACCCCAGAGCCCACCCAAAAACTGCACTAGAAACAGCTGCAAAATTTCTTAAGGGAGACACTAAAAAGAAACACACTGGAATCTCTCCAGGACAAACTCCAAATAGTTACACCTGTAAGGCGGAAGACTCATTCTAGATGCAAGAAACATGCATTCCATTTCTCGTGGTAATGGAGCTGCTTCGAATGCGTGCGGCACCTTCCATGCAATGAAAACACATTACGTGGTTTGACTTTTATATTTCTACGTGGATGTGCATGAAACTCTTGTAGACATGTGTTTATAAAGGGAAAATTAGTACAGTGCTCAACTCTTTACGACATGAAATTTTGAATGTTCCTTATATCACGATTACCGTGCAACCTTTTCCTTGAAATAACTGCTTTTATAAGAGGGGTGATGTGCGTGTAATGAGTATAAAACCCAGGGAATGTGAGAAGCAATGGTAGTGACCTAATTTAGAGTCATTGATATGAGAGGGGTCTTTTTGTAAACCTCCTTTTTAATGTCAGAGCACCAGTTTATAAAATGCTGCAGCTGCCTGTAAAGATCATGTACAACACATCTGTCCAGTTTGTGTATGAAATGGATTTGATAAAGTTTTTGCTATGTTATTTACTACATTTTGGGATTAATAAATGATTTATATGCATATTTTTCTGTAAATCGACATTTTTTTGTACAAGATGTTCTACAAGTTATGAAGCTAAGGGAAGACAATGCCAAAGATACCTCTGCTTACGCTGAACGTGACCAACATGCTCTCAACAGACCGGCACGGAAAGAGCCGTGTTGGTACGGAGCGAAGTCAAAACACTGCTAGTTAAGAACATGTTTCTCAACAATAAAACGTTGACTTGTTTCTCTCTTGGTGGAGTTGTCAGCTGATTCTTTCCAATTTTGTGTATTCACCTGGCCCTTTGCTTCATCAGCTTTAGTGCCCAGTGTGGACTTCACAGATTAGTGCCAGCGCCCGATGTCAACCACAAGGCTTAATTCTTGAACTGTGTCACCTATTGAAAGAGATTCATTTTCCTGAAAAGAAATGTAGAGGAAGAAAGTGGGAGTGAGGCAGGAATAGGACAGGGACACGCCCCAGGGAAGCTACTCATAAACATTCAGGCTGATCAGCACGACCCCCTCTTTGCCTGGCAGTTCCTGGGCTCGTACTGCACTGGCGACAGCTAAGCCACACAGCGTCAGCATGCTGCACCGTCACACCCGTGCACAAGGACAAGCAAAGCTGCGGGCGGCCACCATCGCGACCTTTCACCTGTGGTAGATAAGGACAAGGTTAGGGAGGTAACTTCTGTACGTGACCAGAAGCTGATACCGTCTCATTAGGCCTTAATTAGCTTAGCTCCTCCTCCACAGAGCAGTGTGCCTCCCCTTAGTTAGGAGAGAGAAACACCCCCATCCCAGGACAATATACAAACCGTCCTCTTGGGAACACACGGGGCGGTTGTCATTTCTCTTTCCGAGCTCGTCTATGTGCACATGTTGGTGCATGTTCTCTCTGCACGATAAAGTGCCATTATTTGTGTGTTTGTCAGTCTGTCTCTTTCCTTTTGTTCCCGCTGAGTGAGCTCACCAGACTGTGGACTTCCATCAGTCCCAAGTCAGCTTCTCCTTACTTGATGGGATCAAGGACTTAGGTTAAGCCGTCCGGTACCAGGAGTTATTACGAAACGGCACCGTGTGCGTGCCTGTCTGGTGAAATATCAGAGAGGTGCTCCCGAGTCCCCCTGGTGGGCTCAGAGGCATCGTCAGACATCCCCAAGTGACGAGATCCTTATCCCCGATGACACGCAGCAGACCAGTGCTGACCGCGAAGACCGGTGCGGGTCTGTTCCTGGCCGTTCTGCTCCACATTTCTCTGTGGCGGCCGGAGGTTACCATGAGGGATTGAACAAACAAAAAAAACTTGAACTGAGAAAATGCCCAGATGTCCTTGGTTTGTGGTGATGATTTATAGATTTTTAGAAATGTCAGGGATTCTACAATCAGGAGCAACCCCCGTTTTCACAGATGATGAAACCAAGGCCCAGAGGGAAGAGGTGCGCAAGGCCAGCACTGATCACGGGAGGCCTGGAGCCAGGCTCAACTCTGAGGGGACTTGACCTCTGCCCCCTAGGGGCAGCCAGCCTGTGGGGACGTCTGCAGGGCCTGCACAGCCTTCCCTCTGCTGTGCCACAGGGGCCCGCCCGCCAGCCACGGGCACAGGCTAACTGAGGTCGGGCATCCCTTGCCTGTGTTCACGACTACGAGAGACCCAAGTTACAGGAGGACCCCAGCGGCTGCCTCTTCTCCGCCCCTTTAAAGAGGGGCCCCTCGCCTCTGAGGATGGACGGTGTGGGAACGGATCCAAGCGGAAATCAGGCCACACCGGTATTTTCCTCCTTTCCATTTCTTCTTTGTTTTCTAGTTGAAGGACTTCTCATAAGTACCACTGATGTCGTAGAAGGAACACAATAAAGTCCCCTAAGCCTCTGTACCCTGGAGCCCTTCGGAGGGCTTGGTCTTGCCCTCGTAGGGAACAGCACCAGACGCACTGGAAACTGGAAGGGGCAGAAAGGACTCTCCCCAGGATCCTTCAAAGGGAGTGCAGCCCTGCCGACATCTTGATTTCGGACGTCTGGCTTCCAGAATTTATGTGAGAACGTAAATATCTTACTTTAAGCCACCAAGTTTGTGGCAATTTGTTATGGCAGCCCAGGAAACTCCTACAACAAGGATGTAAGTTATACTTCACAGTAGGAAGTAAGATAGCAA